GCCGAGGATCTGCGGGCAGGCAGAGCAGGTATCCTGTCTGTCTGTGCCTCATCCCGGCCGAGGATCTGCGGGCAGGCAGAGCAGGTATCCCGTCTGTCTGTGCCTCATCCCGGCCGCTCCCTAACCCGGCTGTTCATGGTCCTGATAACTCCTGGTCCCGCCTGTTCCCTAACCCAGCTCTCCCCTGTTATAAATGACTTTCAAATTTCCAAACAATCAAATTTAATTAATTGATGATATGCTTTAATAAATTTGATACAAAATAATAAAAAAAATGCAATTTAGTAAAAGAATACAATTTAATAAAAAAAGGTACAATTTAGTAGATATATTCAGATATATATTTCTATTTATATATGTGAATATAATTGGCCAGTGGTTACAAATGGTTAAGGCATAAGCAAAACCGACTGGGGTACAGGGCAGGGGGGTTTCTCACTCCACCTCACGTACAAAACAAAGCACTTCAAGCTAAACTTACATACTGTATGCTTATACATATTCATTAACGTTTCCCGTAAGTTTCCTTCTATTTCTGATTTTTCTGACTTTACGTCACTTTTCTTCACGGTACATGCCTCACTTGTTGTTCGGGGGTCTTCAGTCTTCTTTTGGTGATCTTTTGGCGAAGGCTTCTCCTCTTCCTCGTTGTCCTTTGGATAACCTTACAGGTTTGTGCATGCGTACTAAGCGTTGTGTTATGTAAGTCTACTAATTAGTCTGATATTTACTAATCTTTAGGCCCAGTGCCTAAGGTCGTTCTAATTTTGGTCAACCTCAAGGCTGTTTTAGTCTTGAGACACCACTTATCTTCTAAACTACGTCCTGTACCTTAATTTTGACATGTAACATCTGTAAAGGGATACATCTGCTTTATAACACTGATTCTTCATCATTTCTAATAATAACTTTAATAACAATTACAGTTTAGTTAGCACGAATCAATTCCATTTATTACACCCCTGTCCCACCTGTTCCCTATTCCCGCCCGCTCTCTAACTCCGTTCTTTATCCCTATCCCGGTGGTTCCCACTCCCCCCGCTCTCTATCCCGGTGATTCCCTGTTTCCCTTGCTCTGATTCCCGGTGATTCCCGGTTTCCCTTGCTCTCTATCGCTATCCCGGTGATTCCCGCTCTCTATCCCGGTGATTCCCGCTCTCTATCCCGGTGATTCCCGCTCTCTATCCCGGTGATTCCCGCTCTCTATCCCGGTGATTCCCGCTCTCTATCCCGGTGATTCCCGCTCCCCATCCCGCTCTCTATCCCGGTGATTCCCGCTCTCTATCCCGGTGATTCCCGCTCTCTATCCCGGTGATTCCCGCTCTCTATCCCGGGGATTCCCGCTTCCCGCCGCTCCCACCGGAGCCCACAGGGCCCGTGGGCGTGGCCTCCCATCAGGGGTGGGTCTGGGGGCGTGGCCTCTACGGCCTGCATCATCCCGAGGCGCCGCCTCTGCTGCCTGACGTCATCGCCGCGCGCCGCCGCCCTCCGCCCGGCCCCGCCATGTCCTTGTGGGTGTCCCGGCTCGGCCGCACCGCGGCCGCCCGCGTTCGGCGGGGGAGCTCCGGGCCGGGCAGCGCCGCGCTGGGCTCCGGCCTGCCGGGGGTGAGCGGGGAAGGCTGGGCAGGGCTGCGGGCAGGGCTCTGTGCAGAGCTTCGGCCTGCTGCGGGTGGGTGAATAGAGACAGCCTTTGGGCCGGGGCTGGGCTGTTCCCTGCGAAGCGATGTTCCCAGCCGGGAGGGGCGGTGAAGTGGAGGCAGACTGGAGCAAATGGCAGAGAGAGGCGTGCGGTGACCTTCAGTTGCGGCTGTGGTCAGCGGTGCTGCGAGGAGAGGAGTGTTGAATAGGAATGGACGCCCTTGTGTGCAAGGGAGGGTACAGGACCTCTCAGAATGAGGTTTGCAGTGTTTGTCGGGCTCTGGGGGAGGCTGTGAGCAGGGCCCAGAAAGGCCCTGCCTTCTGCCCCACAGCCCAGGGGGGTCCCTCTTGCTACCTCTCACGAATCGTGGAATAGTTAAGGCTGGAAAATATATCCAAGGTTACCAAGTTGAAACTTTTTCCCTCTAAGACATATTGAAATAAAGGTGTAACTCTCCCGAGAGTGAGTTTAGTGTTGCTATGTGCCCAACAACAAAAAAAATACAAGCAAAAGTCTAATGTGGAGTCTCTCTTGGGAACTCTGGGTGTGCTGTGTGTCTGGCCTTCAGACTGAAAATTGTTTCATGCTTTCTGTCTTCCCAGCCTAACCAGTGCTGCAGTTGCTAAGCTGAAATGGCAGTGCTAAAGTTACTGAGTGAAAATTCCTTGTATGATGTGTGTGGGAGCACGTCCTGTGTGAATGTCTGGAGAAGGTGCACTTTCAGCTAAAAACCCCTCCATGTCTGCTGATTTCCATGCGTTTTCCTCTAGGCAAGGATCCACAGCAGCCCTGAGCAGAGCCTGCAGTATGGGTGGCTGGCCTATATGTTGGGAGAAAGGGCCAGCAAGAAGTTCACAGAGCACAGCAAAGTCTTCACGGTGGAGGGCAATCTGTCTTCTGGGAAGGGCCAGCTGGCCCAGCAAATAGCAGAAAAACTGGGTATGTCTGACTGTTTCCCTGCGAGCTGCCAGAGTTTAACTGTGACTCTCGTGCAGAGAAAGTTCACTGGAGCAGCAGTTCCCGGCTGGGACATGCGGAGGGAGGGGGTGGGGGGGGATTGTGGGTGATGTTGGTGAGGTTTGGGATGGGGATGTGTTTCGGGTCTGTGGGATTTGTTGGGAGTGAAGCTTCAGTTCCAATGGAGTTGTGCTGACTGTGCTCCCGGAGAGCTTGGATTTTCCACATGGATGTGCTTGGAGCAGCTCAGCTCTCCCTGTGAAAGCGCTCGGAGTTTGGGTTCATTGCCCTCTGCTGTGTTGGCCAGAGGGGCTGGGGCTGTCTGGGAGCTGTTCAAGGAACAGCTGTGTGTTCACTGGCTGAGGGGGCTTTTGCTGCAGATGAATGCAGCTGATTTCTGCCATGGGCTTCTTCTCTTTGTCAGGAATGAAATACTTCCCCGAGGCAGACATCCACTACCAGGACAGAATCTTGGGGGATGGGCAGCTGCTGCCTGAGAAGTTCAATGGTTTCTGTAACCTGGAGAAGTTCTACACGGACCCCAGGTCTCCGGACGGGCACTCCTACCGCCTGCAGTCCTGGATCTTTGGGAACCGTGTCCTGCAGTATGCCGATGCCCTGGAGCACCTGCTCAGCACAGGTTGGGGAACCATGGAATGGGTTGGGCTGGGAGGGACCTCGCAGCTCCTCTTGTTCCAACCTGGGGCCTGCTCTCCCTTGCAGGTCAAGGTGTGGTGCTGGAGCGCTCTCCCTACAGCGACTTTGTGTTCCTGGACGCCATGTTAAAGCAGGGATATGTCCACAAGAGATGTGAGTTCCTGCCAGCAAAAGGAAGCTGCTTTGCCATAATCTCTCGGAAGTCTAGGAGTTTACTTTAAAAAAAACCAAAAAAAATCCTGCTTGGAAGGAGGGATTCCTTTAAATATTCAGTGTTCATGTGTTTCTGAGTGGAGCCAGTCTGGTCTCAGTGGCTGTGGGAGGACAAAAATAAAGGGCACGAATTGAAATGCAAAATCTTTCATTTGTAAGGAAAAGCCCTTTTTTTCTGTGAAGGGAGTCAAACCCTGGAGCAAATCACCTGGGGTCTCCCCCCTGGAGATACTTGAAATGCTGTGGGTGGAGTTCTCAGCAGAGTGGTT